CGCTTCGGTCTACCCCTCGGACGCTTACCATTCGGCACAGCAAATATTAACCTTTTAGGAATTCTCTCGTTACTAAGCCCAACAACTTTACAAGCCCATTTGATTCGCCGCGATGAAATTACCTCAATTATATTACCCGGATACAGCTCACGCAATTCGGCGTTGTGTAACCGTCTGAACTCTCCGGTTATCTCATCCTTCTTCGGTCCGAATATTCTACGGAATACTTTATTTTTAAAAACCTTAAGACGCTGCTCATCCCTTAATGTAAGCGGCCAAGTTTCGCATCCATAAAGAACTGTAGGCAAGATAATTGTTTTATAGATTCTAATTTTTAAGGCTCCTTATTATGTAACAAATAAAATTATCCATAAAGACCTCAACATTCCTCTTGTGGAAGACTTGGCCCGAACTAGATATACCTCTTTTCATTCCAAACTCTTTGCTCACCCAAATCCTCTAATTTATATCTTTTCATCCAACACAATTCCAGACAAACCTCCGAGGCGTCTGAAAAGAAGATGGCCAAGAGACCTCCTAAATCAATTTATCTTTGAAGTGTTACCAATGGGTAGCTTCTTCACAAGTAACTTCATGTAATATATTCCTATATCAAATTTACTGGTTATATATTTGTTTACAGTTGTAAATTTCAATAAAATAATATTAAAAAAAACTTTAGATGTTATGGTATTACAGCTCAGAGAGATGAAGGGCACGCCGCGCAACGTACAGAGAAAGCAATTGACTCCCAGCAGGTCCATATCCTGGTTTGACTCACTTAAAGATTTTCTTGACCGAGTCTCCTTTGTAAGGGTGGGAATATGGCCGTATATTTCTCTCGGTTCCACACAGGTTTGACGTAATGACACGAAAGTACTATCACGAACAGAGACCGGATTATCGTTTAGTATAAATCCAAAATACGTGTAAATAAAATTGTGTAATTAACACCGAAAACGTGTAAGATTATCGATGTTGTTTAATTTATAACATTGATACATCGAAATCTTATCACATCTTGAGTTAGCCAAAAAAAAAAAAAAAAAAAAATCGAATGTAACATTGAAAATGAAATTCCGTATTATTATCAACTATTATAATAACGATTATTATCAAATAATGCAAAGCATTGATGGTTTGAAAGAATAAATGAAGGCAGAAAATATAGGTGCCTATGTATATATTACATAGACCACAGACCAATTTTAGGTATATAACTTTATGAATACATTCCCAAACGTTTTTGTTAAAATTTAAAGAATTTTGAAAACAATTTAAAATAGAGTGTAATGTTTGAAATTTTCAAGTGTTCAGAAATTAGTGTTGAAGCTGTTTTTCTATACCACTTGAAAAATATTTTTGGTGATTACGTTATTTAAAAAAAAAAACATTTATATTAAGAAACATATTCTTTGATAAGAATATTTTTTTCTTACTTGTTTCGGAATGAGCTTCTATCTTTGATTTCCTATCACCTGATTGATTCATAAGCTGCATAGAACTTTATCATGAAATTTTTGCCCTCATATTTCAAATCAGGATATTTTTATATCCAAATTTTAATTTTTGACGGAGAATGGATTTTACTTTCAGCATTTAATATATATATTATAAGAATGAAATTTCAACAGATCAATTCAAAGCCAGAAGTGATACTGAAGGGTTGAACGGTGAGTGAGGATTCAAGCCATAACAATAACTATAAATGCCTTAGTAACAAATCATCAAATTCTAGGAAAGCAGCTTTTTATTATCCAATACTTTAGGCAAGTTCTATTTCAAGGATAGATCTCACTTGTGTTTACTTCTTCTTTTTGTAATGAATACGATTTTTTTCGCTTCACACAGAATTATTTGCTTTCCTCATTCATATTTTTCTATTTTGAATAATGAATTTAATTTGAACAATATAGTAAAATAAATATTTGTATTTATAAATCATCTAATTTAGATCTAAGCACATAAGTGCAAAACTGTGCAATTTAATGCAACAAAAATCAAAATCGTGCGATTTAAGCAAAAAACGACAAAACGTGCAATATAAAATTTAAATATGTTACTCTACTGGTTCTGAAACGGATAGATGTTCGGGTCTGGAGTTTTTACTCGCAAGCGAATAGTAATTGCAATAACATGAAAATCCGGTCTCTAATCATAAATATCTGGTGTGCCTGAGGTTGTTGGGGATATATCGATAACAATAGATATTGATATTTTCTTTTCGATATCACCCAATACCGTATAGAAACAAAAGATCCCATATTATTGTAATATTGAAGGTAGTGCTGTCCAAAATCGGACTCGATCTTGCAAAGTACTTTTTTTTTTTTGTAGCGTTTTTCTTGGTCTTTCATTTGGGCAACGCTACTAGAAAGGAAATTACCAAAATCGAATTTCATTATTTTGTTTGTTTTTTGTCACATTATAAACATATATCTATAGCATTTTAAAATAACTTAAATGGCTCGTTTCGAAGCCATTTCATTCCTAAATTCAATTTTAATATAAATCCGAGAAGATTAAAAGAATGTTTTTATATTACTTAATTTAATTTCTCCTGATTTGGTGCTGTCCAAAATGCAGCTCTCTAAATTTTAAATGCCCCCAAGATCATTATATAAAACATCATACAATGTATATACAGTAGACATGTAATACAAAAAAAAATGGAGAGTTTAATTTTTATTTTGGTTCTAAATATTCCCTTTCAAATTTGTTGTACCTAGAGTCAAAAATACATCTAAGATATTATTGTGATTCACTTGATGTTTATTGGAAACATATATTAAATTAATAGGAATAATTTTTCTGAAACAAGTACTAAGTGTTTTTTTTTTTTTCAAGTAAAATGTAATTATTATTTTTTTTCCATGATATCTATGACTTATGAATTAAAAATTTACTTTTAATTTTTTTAAACCTACAATGTTGCAATAATCTATACATTTCTTATAGTATTTATTTTTCTTGGGGTTACTTAGTGGTAAGGCACTGACTTCCTAAGCTCAAGTTTCAAGGTTTGAATGTGGCTGATGGCAAGTAATTGTTAATTCTGTTTCATGAGTCGTTGACTGACCCTAGGGTCGGGAGACCCTCCTAGGGCACACCCAAGTGGATGGTCTTAATTAATTATGGAGTAAAACCTGGTGTTAAGCGTGATGTAGAACCAAATATTAATCTATATCTAAATAGTAGTGAACCCAAGACCCTTCATGGATTAAAGTGGTACAGGGATTTTTAATTTTTTTTTTTTATCAATTGATACAAATTATCATGTCGGTTTATTATTCTTATTATTTTGTTTTATTCAAAAAATCTTTTGTAAACTTAAAAGTATATCAGTTTCTGTTATCCTATCTTTCCTCGCGCCAAGATAAAATAAATTGTTTGCCTGATTCTGCAGAAGAGACTAGAGGATCTTTGGCAAGAGATTAATGCCCATTGTTTGAAGAGGTTGTCCTTAAGATTTGGGAACACCTGCCCTACCCCGATGGAACTATCAGACTTTCCTGCCCCAAATTGTCGAAGGTCAGACTGTATTTTAGAGGTCGTTCTTCTTGTCGTTGAACTTTACATATAGATCTCCCATTTTACCTTATTCATAACCTTGAAACGATCAAGCCAAATTTTTTTTGTTATTAGTTTTTCTCTTTATACATTTTTTTTACTTTTATTTTATTTAGTAAAGAAGCTGTCTTATACAGTTCACTGACATTTAGTTGCCTCCAACAGTTGTTTATACAAATAATTTCAGTGAATGAATTTCATTTTTAAATATTTCAGTTCTTATAATTACTAATTAAGTACTTTAAATAATTTTGAATTGTTTATATTTCATTAATTTTGATTAGTTTAATCAATTTCCTAATCTTATATTTGAAGTTGAATATTTTTACTTAAAATAAATTTATTTTTAGCGAACCCACAATCCTAATTTTCTTTTCTTTTCTCTTTTAATAATCACAATACTGTTGCTTAATTTAAATATAATCAATGCATTTTTGCACTATAATGAGATTGGTTGTGTTAATCAGTTAAAAAATATATTTATGTATCAGAATAATAAAAGTTTTTATATCAGCCCTTTTTTTATTTTAAAAACAACATGTTTTGATAATTGTATTTAGAAGTGCTTTATAATTTAAAGTTTTTAATTTTATTTGTAGATTTATTTATTTTTAATTATTTTGTGAGAAGGCACTAATTTTTAATTAGTTCAGAACACCAAAGCCATGTGTAAGAGCAACTTTCCAGCATCAAACAAAATTAAATTTATCGAATTATGTTTAAACTTTTTTTTTTTAACCATGTTTATTGAGAGATATTACACTCGACACAATATAACAATATAAATTACACGCAATATAATATTACACAATTAAGGACATTTATAATAGTCTTCAAAGAGCAAATTCACACTTATCAGTAATAAATACAAATAAATAATACAGAAAAACAATAATACTAAAAGTAAATGTATGTAAACTAAAATAAAAAAAACTAAACTAATAAAAATAACTACCCACATACACACATGCCTTCTATACAATACCTACAAAAATAAAAGATTATTCACTCAAGATCTACGAGACTAGCCTTTCTCCCCACTCGTGAAAGGAAAGGCAGGACTCCCAGCGCTTCTCATTCAGCAGCAATTTAAACATTTTAGATATATAAAAAGCATGGTAATTTTAATAGAAGTTATGACTTATTAGAAATGTTTATTTTCATCTTTCTGAGCATCTACTTAATCATTTAGAAATTATATATGTTGGGTCTTGACCAATATGTTTTTAGCCAGAAATTTACTCTTTTTTTAAGAAATATTTTGGAATTCTGTAATATCGAAATCCTTTTTTATGTATTAATAGAATAGACTATGAGCTACTGATTTTAGTTCATTATTCTATGTTTATTTCTTGCTTTTGATTAACTTACATTTTATTTATTCTCTATTTGAAACCTTTGATATATTAACAAAATATTTTCTTTTTTAGGGGGCAGCAGCAGTGGCTGCATACCCTGCTGGCGGAGGGTACGCCTCGGGAACCGAATCTTTCTCACCAGAGTCTCCGTACTTCCCTTTCAGCACAGCGCCAACGTCCCGGAGGATTAGCTCCACCCCCGGTATGTAATATCACTCGCTTGTTTTTTGTTTTTTTTTAAGAAATAAAATACAGTGAATAAAAGTTATAATGAAATTTAGTATATACTCTCTTATCTTAACTATTGGGACAATGAGCCACTCTTTTCATTCTTCTAGTTAGCTTTCCTGTTATCAAAGATGTGTCAATATCAACTTACGTATTTCATCTCTGAGGAGACTTGCTTGAAAATTATTTTTATCCTCTACTCTACTTAATATTGCTTTAGAGTATGCCGTAAGGGCAATCCAGATATACCTTGGTTGCACTATTTATAATAGGATGATACAGCATCTCCCTTATGATGACAATTTCATAATAACTGTAAAAAAAATTGCAGGGCACTTGAAGAATTTATGAAATCTCAGCAAAAGAATTAGAGCTATAAATGAATGAACAAAAGACTTTTTACATACAAACTTCAAGAAAGCTGAGTATAATAAATGAAAGCTTTAGAATAGGTAACCACACCCTGAAAGCGGTTAAGACTTTTTAATTATTTGGGTGTGCTAATTATTGAAAATAATGAAAGAGTGGAAGAATTAAAAACAAGGATGGCTGTAGAGAGTAGGTGCTGTTTTATCATTCGAAAAATACTGAAGCTGCTTGAATGTTAGGAAAGGATTCTTGGCAAGATCTATAGTCCGGTGTGTGAACATGGACAGTGAAGAAGGCGCACCAATAAAGAGCTTCTTGAGAGGTATACGAGGCCAGATTTAGTCTCAATTGTGAGGGGTAACCAAAACAGATGATTGGGTCATGTTACGCTTGAGCCCAGATAAGTAATTTCCAAACGCCTGCTTGAGGATCAACCTGGTGGAAGATGACAGAGGAAGCCACACCTAGGATGGCTGAATGGGGTGGGGGACATCCTGGCCTGAAAAGGATGGGAATCCGAATATGGCGATTGCTCCCCCGGGATAGAGGAGAGTGGAGGAAGATCAAAAGAGAGTACAAAGTTATTGCACGACTGAAGTGCTAAGAATAAATAAAATTTGACTTGTCAAATTGCTAATTACCAAGTGATAAGTTAAGTCACATTTAGGGCAGTGGTAAGTTAAGACATTGCTTTTTCCTTTAATGCGTCCACTGGAAATCAAAATGTGGTCTATCTGAGACAAGAAAGAGATCCATCTTCATTATATACCTGCTTATGGCGATAAATGGTACTCATTACAACTAGAGTATTTTAATTTATTTAGAAATAAAAATATTACACATTAGAAATAAAAATATTTACTCTCCTGATGTATAAATTTCTTTGGAGATATGAAGAGAATGGAACAGAATAGGTTGAACAAACTAATATTCGATAAAATAATGGGACTGGGAAGAACATAAAAGGTTATTAGGAACAAATAAAAGGGGGGATGAGTATCCAAGAGAAAGGCTAAATAGATGGGGAGGCATTCAGAAAACTAGTGAAAAATATAAAAGTTCTTCTAACGAAGAAGAAGAAGCAAGAAAATAAGAAATGGACAGATGAAAGAAAGAGGGAGATGGGAGAAGAACATGAGCAAAAAAAATAAGAAATGATAAACGTGTGGTCCGTAATTGGCCTGTATCGGGATAAATAATTAAATATATATAATATGATGATGCGAATAAGCAGTACGTTATTTAAAAATATATAAAAAAAGGCAGTTAAGTATATTAACAATGATGGTTTCTTATAAAGAATTTATTGTTGAAACTCTCTAAATATGTTTTCTGTATTTGTTAACAATTCATGTATTGTATACTACATGCATGTGTAAGTTTTATTTTTATTATTATTAATATTGTGTTACTATTGTAAATTATCATATTACTAAAATCTGTTTTTACTTTTTTTTAGGGACGGCAGTTAAAAGAAAAAGAGAGGTAATGCATTTTTAAAATGTTTAATTTAATTTTTTTAATAATTGTATATTTGTTTAGTACATAATTACTAAACTCAGATATTTTAAATTCTTCTTAATACTCTTTTTAAAGAAAATAGTGGTTTTTGGTTTGTTAGAAATCCCAGATAAGTAATTTCAATTGCCTCAGCCTCTCGATTAAATGGATGCGTTGGTATCATCCTTTCTTTTATGCTTTAAATGTTTTTAAATATTTTATTATTCATAGTTTTATTTCTGTGGCCATTATATTGTATTATTATAATATGACTAATTTTATGTTTTTATATTAAAGAAGAAGCAATTTTCTATTATATTGATTTTGATTGCTTATTCTAAAGTTTAAAAAAAAAATAGAATATAACTGATTAGAAAGAAAATATGGTGGAGGGAGAAAGTATTTCATCATCTTATATTTAAAAAAAAATGTAAAACAAAAGTTTTAAGTGGTTAATATTAATCTTTGATAATATTGTAATAATTATTAGATGTTTTTAAAATTAATTATTATTTATACTGTTCCGGTAGAACTATTAGTCTTTAATAAAAAAAATTTCATTTCCATCAAACAGATTTGTTTAAGAGGACTGAAAACTTTAAAAAAATTAGAATGTAACATTGATTATAAATAATTATAAAAATACTTTAGCAAATAATTATAATAATAAATTTCTCTATGAGGAAGGGGTTAGAACGAAATGTGTTCCGGTCGAGTTTCATAATCTCCATCTAGTGGAATAGCTGAAATAAAAAGTAATTTTTGGCTTTCTCAGTCCATTTCAAGAGATTTTATCTACAACATGGGTTGTGTTTATTCCTGTCGAAATTATTAGTAAAACCTTGTTAAGGGGGCAGAGTGGCTGTGCGGGCTAACATGTGTGCAAATCACACATTGCCCGGCAACCAGATTAGATAACTATGAGTTCACGTCTCGGTGCTGGAGGACTTTTAACTTTGGAATAAATCCTCCTCCCTCTACTCTGTCCGTGTTTAAGACATTAATTGCCCCGAATGGATAGAAAGGGTAGGTTATTGCTATTTTATTAAAAATAAATACTCAATTCTGTGATGTGACCGAGGAAATATCAGAGAGAAGTTTTTAAAAGAAAAGTAGCATTTTCATTTCTTGTATTATATCTGTAACCATGTTGGTAAGTTAATAAATGAAAAAATCTAATTTACGTCTATATTAATATATTAGTACCTTCTGAATACCTACACTGTTTGAAAAGTAAGCTTTTGATTTCGTAATTTGTTATCATATAACTATTTTTGATTCTGAGTTTGCCATTTAGACTCAATATAAAAGTAAGTTTTACAACACATTGGTAATATTGAGGTTATCTTTAATATTTATTTGAGGAAACTGGAATACAGATTGGTTTCTCTCATTCCAATGAGCAACTCAAATTTTAAACCAATAACAGAAGAAAATAAATTTTTCTCATAAAAAAGCAATTCATTCACATTCTTGTCTGATTCAATTTTTTTTTATCCTATTTTTTAGTGACAATATAATCTTATTTAGAAAGTCAATAGTTTTAACTGAAACAAGTAATACACCAATAATATATAATTTGATACATTTTTAATTTATACTAAAGAAGTAAGGTAATTTACGTCACCCACAGATATTGCATAATCTAATTCTTTATGGGGGGGATTTAGAATTCTAGATTTTCTTTTCTTTTATTAATTATTCTGTTGATTACAACATTAAAACAACATAGAACATAGAAGAAATGGAGGTGCATCTTATCATTTTATGCTATTTTACAGCCATATAATTTGTTTGCTATAACAAGTGTCTTTGGTTCCTAAGAATAATCATTAGAGTTCTGAAATAAAAATGTTTTCATGCCGTGAAGTTTCATATTTCGCATCTGTTGCTCTCATCAGAACTCAGAAAAAAAGGGCTGGTTACCAACCAAAGTTTTGCATAGTCATAGATATAACTCTTGGGGACTCACTAGAACTACCATTTGTTCCTCGATTCTGGAGAATTCACGTGAACAGAAAGTTTGGGTGATAGGTATTTAGAGGGTGAACCTATATGATCCTCTGCCAGGTGTTACCGAGACTATTATAACATATATGGTCAGTTAAAATTATGTGTTGTCTCAAATAGTATGTTGCAGAATTGTGTAATTATTACGATTTTAGTTAGTGATATTCTTTTTACAATTTGAACCGGGGAGTGATTTTTTCATATATACAGAGTGTCCTGTGAGTTGAGGAAAATTTTGATAGCAAACCTCAAGAACTACAAGAAAAGTTAATATAAAAAATGGCTAATTTTCAGCATAAAAATAGGAAATCCAAGTTTTGTGTTTTACCTACAAATATAATATATAGTACGAGGAAATATTGCAGTTGTGAATATTTTCGAATCTGAATTTTCAATGGAAATACAAGTTTTAAGATCCTCTGAGTCTAAATAACCAAGTCCCACAAAATTGACTGTGTGAACAGTCTAGCTCAAAAAAGAAAATTCTTAGGGAACTGAAATTGCTTATTTAAGATTTGTGCATGCCTGGATTCTTACAGAAACTTTTTTGTGAAAATTGACGCTATCCGGAAGTGCCACTTAATATCATTGATTTTAAACAATTTTGTCGAAAACGGCTTTAACGATTTTGATTAACTTCATTATCTTTAGTGTGAAATAAAGCTGTTGGTTTTGATACAAAAAAGCTGAGCTGTAATACAAAAAAAAAAAATCATTTTTTTTTTTTTAAAACACAGAACATAACTAAGTTAAGCCGCTCAAATGGTTTTAACAATGACATACTGTACTTTTATTTGAAGTAAATTTTGTCTAGTTTAAAGTGAAGCCATTGTTTATTACTTAAAGTAAATATTTTTTTGTTATCGCTTTCTATTCAACAAAAAAACATGACACTTAAAAAACACAAAATTTGGATTTCAGTCTTTTCTGCTGAAAACTGGTCCATTGTTTATATAAAATTTTTTGTAGCTCTTGAGGTCTGTCAGGGCACCCTGTATATTCTATCTCATTGGTTAATACCAACTGATACAAGTTGAGAGTGAAAATGAATATTGTAACACCTAGCAGACGATAGTATAGACACACACTCTCAACATCTAACTCATGAACTTTCTGTTCGTTTGTATTCTTCCGACTCAATGAATACAGTACTGTGTACTGTACAAATTCCATTACTGTTTATAGTTTTCTCATTCATAAGATATTTTTCTGTTGGTATTGCAGACCTTGTAGATATTTTGTCACCTTAACATGTCTGCTCCATCTCTGCCTATCTTGGGCTATTTCTTTCCAGATATCTGCACGTAGCTCTATTGCGTATTTGATCTCTCCACCTACTTTTTGACTTTTTGAGGTCCCTTGTCTACTATTGAAACATTCATTGTTGTTAGGGGCTTTCAGAAGGATTGCTCCTAGCTACATGCACCACCCATCTTAACCACCTTGCCTTCATATCATGAGATATTGATTATCCAGTTTCTGTAAGCAGCTCTTTAATTGGTCTTTCTCCTCGTTAGTACTCTGATCCCAGTTCGCCCCTGTTTTCGGTAATCCTGGACTCGCAGCCCTATACCCTTAATTTGAGATTTATAGAGATTTTCCAGGATTTCAGTTCCTTTCAAATAGGAAACAAAGTTCTATTTCCGACCGTTGGTCATTCATTGAGGTTATTGTGCAGCGGATGTGTTTAAAATTCCCTACTCTCTGGAACGATTTTTCTTCTACACATGCGATTTCCTGTTATTTTGGCGGGGTTTTCGACTTATTATGTTATTAATTTCTCTTACCTATGTATGAAATATATAGTTAAGGAAAGTATTGCGATCGTGAACATTGTCGAATCTCAGTTTTCAACGGAAATACACGTTTTGGACCCAAATAACCAAGTCCGACAAAATGGTGTGCGTGTTAACAATCTAGCTCAAAAACGAAAATTCGTACTAAGGTGAAATTGTAAGGTGAAAATATTTAAGGTTTTTATATGTCTGTGATGTTACAGCAACTTTTTAGAACTATTTATTTTATATAACTAAATTCATTATGTCAGTGTAAAATTAAGCAGTTTTTAATATGATGTAGGTTTTATTCTTATTGATGTTCCCTAACAGGGCTTAAATGGCTAATTTTCAATATTAGCTTCCACTAAAGTACCGTTAATTTTTTTTTTTTAACTACTTTTTATATTAACTATTTTACATTGATGTCTGATATAAAAAATATTAAAATACAAAATATGAGAGAATTTGATAATTAACTAAAGGAGAAATTAGATATCTTAACGGATAATAATTGTAATGAAGGAACCAAAGATAAACGAGTGCGCCAGAGCACGCCCAAAACATTACAACAGGCTCCCATACGTAACATGAGCTTAATATAGTACGAACTCCGACAATATTATTTACATAAACATGTGCAGTTTTCATAAATTCTATCGTTGGTATTATTTAATATTTAATTACAGATAGATTACAGCAATATAAATATTAAAAATTTTATATATAAGAGTACCTTAAACAAATAAAAATACCCATGGTGTAATATGAATAAATATAGCGTATATAATTTTTACTTTCACTTCTCTTTCTTCTGAAAATACTTATTTCTGCTAAGAAGATGGTAAGTGAAAGTTGTGTGATGCTTGCACCGCACCATATTTTTTTTTTTCATCTTCATTTGCTCTTAAGCCGATTTTCTCGTCTTCTATTGGCTAGTTTCTCAATGTACATTCCAAGGATAGCTAGTCCGCATATACAAAGATTGTATGATTCATTCCAATTGGTGTACAGCGATACAAAATTTTCATCTCAAAAAATCTCCAATTTATTGTGCTCAATCCTTATAGATCGCGTGGAAGATTTTTAAGAATTCAATATGATATTGACTACGCGATGATATTCACTTGTTGTTGGTGAGTAATTGATGACGCTGATACGAGATGAAGATAGGTGGGAAATGCCTCGTCCCGCCCGGCC